ATATTAACTGATTGAATTCGCAAAAACTGAACATTTCACATATTGATAAAGAAATTTCATTGCACAAATTTGAAATCATTCCGTACAGTTTATGCTGCTTTTAATGCGTTAATCGAGAAGAGAATGAGTATACATAATGTGCGCGCGCGTATCTAGAAATCAATATCAAACACAGAAGGGCAATTATTATATAACCTTAGCAACTGTATGGGCGGAATTCATAGAAGTATTTCGAAAACCATCTGGATTATCTTACTTTTCTAACTTTCTTGCCTTTCTTTTTACATTCGCTTGACTTAAATAGCACCTCCGACGATATAACGTTGATATAAATTATAATTAGTGTAATAAGTACAATCAAATATAATAATAATAATAATAATAACATATCTATATCAATAAGAATTACTATAATCATAATAAAAATGAGCATAATAATGATAGCAGCAATAACGATAATAAACATATCGGTGATAATGATAGTAGCGATAAGGAGGGACAGCAATAATAATCAGATTTTAACCACATAATAATGTAATCGTAACGATAGTGATTATGAATAACGTAACGAAAAGACTCTGATATATAAATACAAAAATTCAGATGGAAAACGGACTAATAAAATAGGTCATTACTGCGATTTTGATGAGATTCAAAATGTATGAATTTTTCTTTTTATAATTTTTTTGTCAATTGGTTTATTAAAGATGGTCCAAAGGAAGAATCGCAATGTTCAAGTCAATTAAAAACAATTTTGGGATATAAGTTTGCTACTTTCTGTGCCTTAATCCTTATTAATCCGTTTCCTATCTGTACATTGATTATGCCAACGATTTTTATAAGTATGTACAGTTATTATAGCACCATGATCGAAATTTCTCGAAACTTAAAAGAGACAAAGCAAAAGATCTTAAATTAAAGTCAGAAAGTCGAGGAAAAAGTTGAAGGGCAAAAGGACTGAAAGATAAACCTTGTTTAAGTCCAAATATGAAAAGGAAAAAAAAGAAAATTGGAAATAGGAGAAGGAAAGAAGACCAGATTATTTCTTTTAATCCGTGTAACATCTTCAAAGAAAATAGAGAAATTGAAAAGACGTTTCAATACAAAACCTCGATAGTGGCCGAAGAATCTGTAAAAGCCAGATATTGATACGTATATATATATTTATATACATATATAATATATAATTATTTCTTTATTAATGATTCCTTTCCTCTCTTTCGGAAATATTCTACAACTTTGGATTGTTAATCGTCAAAAAAATCCCCAAAGTTAAATGTCACTTTGGACAGCCAATTGAAGGTTATCTTCAAATAATGTTAATCTTCAATTAGTAATTAACTTTAAAAATAACAGTAGTTAGGCATAGGATGAGTGTTATAACACTTAAATTTGAGTGTACATTAAATGTTGATCATAAAATTTTGATGTAATCTTTAATCATGATAAGTGTAGGTTAGGGATTAATCTTTAATGATGATCAACACTTAAATTTGAGTGTATTTTTCTGTAAGTGCTGCTTATATTAGTAGCAAATTGATAAAGATATTTACGCATCAATATCTAATTCTTATTGATTCTCTGATCCTTATTGATAATGCTCTTCCTACTATCAAATTGCAAAACGCAATAACTCAATTACTATTTTATCATGATTTCCTTTTATCATCGGCTAATCATCGCATATTTTACGCTACAAAAATTCGAAAGATTAGAAAATGACTGAAATCGAAATAAAATGATCTTTCAGGACAGGCCCCAAAAGAGGAACATCATCAATTCACGCGCGAACGATCGGCAAGAACACAGAGGAACACTTTCGGCGCTGTTGAAGGATGACAAAGGACGATTAATCGGCGCCATTGCTAAGAGATATAGATGAATAGAAAGAGAATTACCTTTTTATCATATAATAATATAATATTGCTAATATTATTACTATGATGTATTTGGCCGTTTAATTTTATATATATATATATATATATATATATATATATATATATATATATAGCAACGCTCGCATGAACATTTCTTCGATCGTTACCACCTCGTTAAATAATTTTCGTGGGACTAGAAATTTTGAAAATACAATCATATTAATGAGAGAAAATTGGCAATCCTGCGAAAAAGAGATTGCAATTATTTCTATATATTTATATATATAATATGTATTTAATCTTCTATCGTTTATTTTTTCACATATTCTTATATGTCTCTCATCACTATATATGATTCTCATTTGCACTGACACAATGATGTAAAAAAAGCTAATGCTTAAGAAAGCGCTTGGCTCTTTTTCTTTTTTCCTTCCTTTTATTTCTTTTTCTTTTTGTCACTGAAACCCTTGATATTGGAAAATTATGCTACTGAAATTTATTTCCTACAACTTTTTTCAATTTTAACACAGCCGACACCAATGATATCGATCTCTTCACCAGATTTTATCTGGATATATTTTTCCGAAATTTTATCTCTAAAATCTGGTAACTTTAATCAATATTTTCCTTGCTCCGCGACAATTGAATAGAAAGCGGAAACAATGATATATAACGATCAATAAGCGCCAAGTCACGCACGCTCGATTTACACACTGGATCACGAAAGAGCTTCCATTGCCGATTACGATGATTAGAATAAAAAAGCGAGAGAACACTACCACATGATTGTTGCCTTCTAATCGCCGATATATTCTACTTTGCGATTTGCTCGACATTAATTAATTAATAGCTACTTTTTTTGCAATATAGTTTCAATAATGTTCCTTTGCAATATACATATATATATTTCTCCTCTATATATATATTTGTATATATTTTCATATTATATTAAACGATGATATCCTCTTTTTCTAATATATTAATTAAGTATGATATGTTTATTCACAACTTGATGTGAGCGCTTAGAAAGAGAGAGAAAGAGCGAGAAAAAGAGATAGAATGACGAAGATTGAAATTTTTTCTTCCTTCCTCTAATATCGCAAAACCAGCATCTCCGATTCTCCTTTCGGTTCGAGTGACAGCGATAATAAATTGGATCACATTATTACTTTAAGTACATTCGGTATATAGATAAAACAGTAATACCTAATATTAGGATGCTTTCCAGCAATAAAACACAATCATACACTGCGTGGCACAGTGTTACATCTGTGTCGACCTGTTGCTGGAACATAACTTATTATTAGCTCCTTTATTTCATCATCAGAGTGCAAGGCAGTCGCTTTATTATATAGCTTCTTTAAAATTATAAAATTTGTTGAGTTTTTTCAGGTTTTTTTTTTAATTTATCCTATACAGTTATACACCGTATGATACAGTATTACACAATATCGACTTGTAGCTAAAACGCTATTTAGCTTTTTTACTTCACTAAGATACAGAGAAAACAGAGCAGTTTACATACTTCTTCAAAGTTTTAAGCTTTTTAAAGTTTTTTTATTCAAATTTTTATCTCCTTCGGAATACCATAAAAAAGTGTACCAAAGGTACCAAAAAGATACCAAAAATATCAAAAGCATTAAAGGTACCAAAAGTACCAAAGATACCAAATATACCAATTGTAAAAATGTTGATGTCTATAGTGACAAAAGTACGACACAATCGAATACAACATTTTAGCTGTGTACGATTGTGTCGACTTGGGTTGTAATTAAAAAATACTGTGCTAAACAATGTCACCTGTGTATGTTGCTAGAAAGCACCCATAATGAACTTCGTTTTTCTCTCTTATCCCATGTTTCACAAATGAGTATTTCGATGCACTCGCGCGCGCACGCGCATACACATGCACACAAACACACGCTCACAAGTATATTCATTCACGCATTGCGATTATATATCGTTATGCATTATACGCTAGTCATTGTCAGAGAGTTTATTAGTGTCTAAAGTTCAAAGAGTCAGTCCGCGTTCGCTTCTGGATCGTTTCGCGCGGAAGCGACTCAGATATAGAGCTTTTCTGGACGTTGCATGTGCACCGCGGGTATATATTATGTACACATCTGTGCCGTTTATGTGATGTAGTTGTACGCATATTTTTTTTTCTTTTCGTCAATATGTTTGTATATAGATTTTTTCACACGCATATGTGTGTGTATAAGTATCGGCTCATCGCGTTACCGTTCTTTATTTTGTTCTCTCTCGATTTGTTGCAGCTCACACAGATTTACGATTCGCCCTGCCGATGAGCGTAAATTATTTCGCACGATTAATTGAGGAACTTTAATAATCCACGAATCGCCGATTGTGCGTTCCGGTTTTTTTTCTCGCGCGCCTCCGTCCGGAACGATTTCCTGAAGCGCTACGCGAAGATATATGTATATATATAATATATATACATATAAAAGATATATACATACATACATATATGTATGTATATATATATGTATATATCGAGATATATAATTTACTATTTCTACTTGTCGAGTAATAAAAATAGAGATTGCATAGATTGAGATTCGTAGCGAATGCATCTATATAAGGAGATACATCTTATAAAGATATCCTCTCGAGCCTTACATGAAATTTGTATATATGCCTCTCCTCTCTCGCGTCTGTACGATTTCATAAATTACACGTATAATAAATACATGTTAGGTTGCTTAGGTTCGTTCTACAATATATCGTATGTCGCAGTCGGATATAGGAATTTCTTTTTCGAAAACGAATTCTCTTCATTAGACAATCGGCTCTGTTCCGTCATCCAACTACGACATATATGACATATTGTAGAATGAACTTCAGTATGCACATGTATTTTGTTTATGTTTACGTGGCTGTACAGTCACTCATCGTACTTTCGGCGATATTTAAATATCAAGGCTCGAAATCGGTAAGTTCGGCATTTAGAGACACACTTAGAAAAAATATATTTCGATATGTATAATATTTAATTTTAGAAGATAAAAATATACAAAAAAAATTATAAAATTTAAAATTAGAATATAATTCTCTTAAAAATGTGTAATAATAATTACATTATTATTACGTATGATTATTAAACATAAAATAATTATAAAACATGTAACAAAGAGATAAAAGCGTATATATGAGATGTGTTTTAAAATCGATCTCTGTATTATATATGTATATCTGTAACATTGAAATATTACTCTCACCGATTTCGATTCCTGCAAGAGACACGAGAACGTATTCGGCAATGCTTAATACAGAGGGGGAACACTTCGTATAATCTTATAATTTCTGATATGTCCGTTGAGTTGGTGTTGCTGTTGCTGTGATGCTATCTGTATATCATCTGGCCGATTTCCGTTCTAGTAAAATAAGCCGCTCGAATGAGTGCTGCACATTGTGTATATTTAAAATTCATAAACTTTAGACATGTAGCCTACTCGCAAGAAAAAAAGGACAGTAAAATTTTTCGAGCATGAACAGACGTGACCTCATGACTCGATTTATGCGTTTGTGCTTGCTTGTCCATTTTATGTCGTCGCGATGGAATAAAATTTAACCACCCGTTACATGACGCGGTGCGAAATAAGATGCCTCTCTTCGTCGATTGAGTATTTTATTTAAGTACACACTCGTCCGGAAACACGCGTGTTCTGTATATGTGTGGTATTGCCTGGCGAATAGTACAAAGCCGTTTCCGTTGAAAGTTTGAGCAAATTGCGCCTGCGAACCTGCTTCCATCCTTACTTGCACGAAAACTTCTCGATAGCTCCGTCCTATTGCTTGCGCGGCTTTTGAAGATATAACCTCTTTTCTGCCCTCTTCCGATTATCTTCTGTCATTGTTTGAGCGATCGAAATATCCTGGAAGTAAATTAGCGGGAATATCTCAAAGGATCGCCGTCGGAAATTCACTATTTGGACTCGCTTTAATTTTAATCAACAATCTCGTGTTATATATATATTTTTTTCTTTATTTTTCTTAATTTTCTAACACGGCGAGCTTTTTGTGAATTTTTTGCAACCGAAGATTTCTCTTTAGTTCTCATTTCTCTTCGAGCAACTAAAATGTGTCGACTCTTTTCTCTTTAATTTGCTAGTATTTTTTGCTACAGACAATATCTTCATTCCTCATTCGTAAGAGATATGATCTCATTTCTCATTGGGATGACATTCATTCAGATCATCATCTTTATATTCATCGAGATTTATTCCTTCGGATTCTTGTTGTGATCGTATTTCGCTGTCTATGAATCAAAACGAATGATTCTCTAGATATTCCGAGCAGTCTCGATAAGTGCTTGGGCAACTTGGTCTCTTGCCAGTACTGAGAGGTATCGGTACCACTGATCTCGAATTATCTCGTTACACCTTATGTCTGTCAAAGAGACAGAAACAAGGCACGAATCATTAAAAGTAGTACATAAGTTTACTATTCTAGATTTACTGTTTCAATGTATTCAAAAAAATTACTATAAACAGGGTGTAACTATAAACAAAAGTATACAAAGAACACAATCAGGTGCAGGACAACAAACTAAATCGAAAAGTCCTGAGCCATTTTTTAAACTGAGCTTTATTTTTGACACTATAAGTTGTTAAAGTTTGCCAATTGCGCGTGACTACAACAGAAACAGCGCCGCCTTAATAAGCGTACTAACAAGTAAACCTACGGAAGTGTCACTCAGCGATTTTAATGAAACTTTGACACATTTGTAGAAACTATGAAAAATATTCGATACGTATTTTTTTTTATCGGCCAAGATTCGCTCTGAAGGGTTGAAACCCTTGAAGGAAAATTGTATGCATGTAATTGCTGATATTCATAGTGCAGCTTACCTTGGTGACATTGTTTCTGCGTAAAATTTCGAAAATTTTACCTCAGAATTGTGATTAGCGATATCAAAAACCTTGAGAAACACCGAAATTTAAATTAATATTTTTTACAATATTTTCATATCCTACAAGCCTTGTAATCACAATTCTGAGGTGAAATTTTCGAAATTTTACTTAGGAACAATGTTACCAACGTATATAAATATCAGCAGTTACATTCATGCATAAAACTTTCCTTCAAGGGTTCCAACCCTTCAGAGCAAACCTTGGCTAATAAAAAAAATACGTATCAAATATTTTTCATAGTTCTACAAATGTGCCAAGTTTCATTAAAATCGGTGAGTAAAATCGCTGTTTTTCGTTGTAGCCACGCGCTAATTGGCAAACTTTAACAATTTATAGCGTCAAAAATAAAGCTCAGATTAAGAAATGAACTTTTCGATTTAGTTTGTTGTCCTGCACCTAATGGTGTGCTCCGTATACCTTTGTTTAGTTACACCCTGTATACATAAATTTAGATAAAAGTTTACTCATATTTTTTGTACTGTAAATAATATTTCATAATCACACCCTATTGTAACATACAAGTAACGAAAAGATAATTATTTAACAAATTAATTTAATAAAAAGAGGTATATCAAAAAGGGTATGAAAAAGAGGAAAAACTCATTTGATCAAAGATCATTGCAAGTTCTATGATAATTTTTACCTCTCTTCATTGCAAGTCCTCCTCGCACTTGGGAATGTCGAATATCTCGGCGAACAGCGGCGGTAACTTGAGCTTCGTCCAGTTTCTGCGAAACCAATCGAGAAGACTGGCATGCCTGGCCCCGAGCGCTCGTAGCTCGGGTATCCTCTGCGAAATGCTGGTGACCGAGCTGCCGGAACTCTCACCGGAAGGTGGCCGAGTTGCTTGCACCCTCAAAGCTTCCAGCACACGATCTTGCAGCCTCTGCACTGCCTTGACGTCATTCAATCCCGATCGCTCGCTCAGCAGCACCGCCGCCGAGAAGAGTCCCAACTCGGTGTCCGTCAGTTGGTGGACGTTCAGCGACGACGTGACTTGCATTAATGCAGACACGAAATCGGGCTGTCGATCGTCAAAATAGAATAAAGGGAATTAGGACAATAGCAAACACAAGCCGATTTCTGAGACAAATTTTATAATTATTGAAAACTACTATATGTACTGAGAATATCGCAAAAACATTTCCAAACAACATCACGTCTAAAAACGGGACATAAGACGTCTTAAAGCTAACTTATTGATGTCTTAAAGACATATTTAATATTTTAATATTTTAATGTCTAAAAGACATCTTAATGACTCCTTTAAGACGTCTTATGTCCCGATTTTAGACGTTTTCTTGTCTAGATGCTTGAAGTTGTATTGGTCTAAACATTCTAAGATATTCACGCAATAAGTTACGTTATTAAATGTTCTCTTAAGGTGATCATAAAACAGTGTTAAATCCTTTTCCACAATTAAAGTATAGACATTAACAAACAGGGGAGTTTAAAAAATTTTTCAATCTGTATAGCTAATAAAAAAATTCATGGTCGAATCCAGCTTCGCGCTGTTATTGATAAACAGAACTCAGAATCACCTTAAGAGGAAAAAGAAGTTTCGAATCTTACCTCGTACATCAACTCCAATTGCTGCCGGGTGAAGTAGGTGCCATCCTCGAAGGTCATCGAATTATCGGTTGTCATCTTGGAGATATGGCAGAGCCACACTTCGAAGAAGCCAACTTTGATCAGGATTAGCTGGTCATCCTGCGAAAGCTCGCAAAATCCTGGCATTCGTTTCGCAAATTCCACCACCCTCTGCACCGATGGGGTCACTCTAGTGGCGAATTGCTGCCACAGCCAGATTCTCTGCGACTCGACTGTCTCTGCGGTCGAGGAGGCCGCTTCTGGGTCCTCTGGGCTGGTGGGCTGCGAAGAATTACTCGCCTAATCAGCAAGATTACAAACAGACCTGCGAGATTTTCTGCCATTTTCAGCGGGGAAGTTTTTGCGCTAATGAATTATCAGTAATTAAACTATTTCATAGATATTAAAGAAATAATAAAGCATATTCTATAACTTTTCCACTCTTTTTCATTCAATTCGAAAAATTTCGCAAATAATAAAATATAGTATTTTTCTCATATTTTAATATTTAATGACTTGTAGAAATACAATTCTCTTATAATTTAGATAATGGCCTAGTTTACACCAATATACTTTGATACGCGTATTAAGTACTACTAACCAATCATAGTTATTCTATTCTTTAGAAGAATGGCTGTAATTCGTCAGTATGACATTTGATACGTATATCAAATAATTGGTGTAAACTAGACCAATAGCGATGGCATTAAGTATCTTAGTAGGTTCGAATTTGTTTGCATGGTTTCAAATTCTCTATGATTACTTCGAATAAAACTAATACTTTAAAGTAAATTCGAACCTAGATCAAATATGTTCGAATCTTTTATTAGAAATTTTAATTGTGTCAAGTATCTTAAGTAGATTTATTGAAGTACAGAGTATTACAATACTTAATACAACATTAAAGGATTCTTTCCAATAAAAAATACCATTAAATACTATTATAAATAGTAAGTATTATTAAGTACTTAATATACTTAATAGTACTTATAAGTACTATTCTTAACTAAATCGCACTCAAACTAAAACTCGAATATAATTGATCTAGATTTGATCACTTCACAAGTATATGAAAAAATATTTTTTATGAATGTTATTTGAATCCTCCAAAAAATGAAACTTAATTATTGAATTTGACTTAGATTTTTAAGTACATATTGAACTTGATCCCATCCATAATCAATGTTTTCTAGATGATTGCAATAGATTAATCTTAATTATTTTTTCTATTATGACTCACCGGTATTATCATGGGTTTTCTCGTGAGGCCTCTGGTGGACTCTTCCGTAAAGCCGCAGTGAGCATGATGCGCTTGCGATACCTGATGAATTACATCGTACACGGCCAACTGTTTCACATCAGCGTCCGATTGATCAGCCTCGACCACCGCGGCAGGCGGCACCCGGGAGATCGCATTCTGACTCTGGGTATTGTTGTTGTTATTGTTGTTATTGTTATTGTTGTTGTTGTTGTTGTTGTTTTTGTTGTTCGCATTGTTGTTGCCGGTGTCGGGCGTGGTCAGTTGCTGCATTTCCATGGCCGCCATCGTTGTCGTCGTCGTTGTCGTCGTCGTCGTCGTCATCGTCGTCGCCATCGTGTCCTCGAGGCCGCGTTCCCTGGAGCGTTTTGGCACCCTGCCGTATCTCACAGCTGCAAAGGAGACACACGCATGACAATTTTTTACATCTTGAGATTTATCCACATGTACAATATTATTGTAAGGATAAAAAAGCATTAGGACTCTACCCGGACTTGATCCTAGGACCTTCCTCTCATTAGACAACCACTCTGCCATTGAGCTATTCAGTTCATTCTCATAATTGTCATAATCTTCAAGTATTGATGAATCTTTCAGCTGCGATCGAAATGAAGATCTTTGGCGAATCGTGCTTTAGGAATATAAATAAGACAATGGATTTTGGTTACGCAAGACTGTCAAAATTTTGAAATTTTTCTGAAAGCTGTATTTTAAGACTTCAAACGAAAGATACTCTGTTGCGTGGATTATAATTGGCAAAGTGTAAGTCGCGAGTCCACGAGAGTTCGTTATAATTTTGTCTGCGACATGTGACACGATAATAAGCAGTAGTGTTGTATACGTAAAACACGTAGTGTCGCACCAGGCACCAGTATCTCTGGAGGACTCTGGTATTTAATTATGTACACGCCTGCCCTTTGGTTTATTTTGCTCTCTCTCGTCATGGACGGCAAGTAGATTTTGCATCACTGACGATTAGAACCGCGACCTAGGATCCTGTTTGAATTTCTAACGGTGCCGTTGATTCTCGCAAGCTCGACACACAAAGTGCAAGGAATCAAAGCCGACTGGTTGGACGCATCATACTTGGCATATATGAACATAACTAGTGAATTATCACCATAATCCCGTGAATATTTTCTGATTCTTGACACAAATTTCTGCTTTTTCTCTATATAATTGCACCAAAAAATTGTATTCTTAAAGTAAGAGAGAACTATACTACAAAATCTCTCTTTTTAGATATTCTGTGTTTCTAGAACATCTAAAATTAAAAATATATTCTTCGTTAATAACAAACAATCGTATTTTTTATATAATATTGTAATTTATAGCGCAGTACAGAGTTTGTCACTAAATGCTCTTTTTTTAGTTTATTAGAAAAATAGATGAAGTTAATAAATAGAGTAATAATCTAATTTAATTATCTAATTTAATTAATTCATGACAGGTTACAGTTTACGGTCGAACGAGAGAGGAATCCTTGCTTAAATTTTCTTGATCTATTTATCATAGTTTTAAATAATACTATTTACATAGACTGGTATCAAAAAGAAACTTTTTCTGGCAGGGTTTTGTCATATTTTTCCAATCACCTCCTTTGCCACAAAATTGCGATAATTTATAATTTAACAGATAGGTGTTTGTTATTATCACATCCACAATTTTATAATAAAAATATTATATGGTCAGGATACTTTTGAGCAATGGTTATCCTCTCAACTTAATTTTCAATAAAATTAATAACCATATCAAACATCTTGTTTTCAATGGTATTATTTTAAACAAACACAATAATAATGATGATATTAGTACTAAGATTGCGTTAGCAGAATAAGAAAAAACAATAAAAAAATTTGTAGTTATTCCATATATTAATCGAATTTCAGATATGATTGTCTTTTCAATTAAAAAGTCTAATAATGTTAATATTGGTTATAGATGTTTGAATAAACTCAACAATATTATAAAAACTCATAAAGACCAAAATCTGCATTCACAGAATTCTAGCGTTGTTTATAAGACCAATTGTAATGACTGTGATGCATCATACATGGGTCAGACGAAGATACAATTAAAAACTAGAATAAAAGAACACAAAAATTATATCAAAGGAAACATTAATAGGTTCTCGATAATATCAGAACACATTAACAAAGAAAAACACGATTTTAAATGGAATATTGTCAAAATTTTAGATCATAAAATTAATTATCATAAGAGGACTATTTCTGAAATGTTACATAAAAGAACAGAAAAACGGAATAAATTTAAATAAAGACACTGGGTTGTTATGTGATTCGTATTTTGATATACTTGAGAAGTTAGTTACAGACATAGATAAACAACACATATATAAGTTATAATAATATAGATATAACGTGTTCTCATCATAATATATAAAGGAACAATGACACTATTTTATCATAACTGTGTTGAGAACAAAAAGAAAAATTCAAATCGCAGTGGTAGACATCCTTATTCACATAAGTAAGCTGATTAATATATTAATTGTAAAATCACACATATAGTATTCGTAATTCACATAGTCACAACATTAAGATTGTATTATTATATTTAGTGGCATAACTAAGAGACAACGATTTCCACATCGTCAAACGTTAGAATTAGAAGATGATCCCTTCAATTCAGGACTCACATAGTTTTAACAATCATATAGTTTTAACATAGTTTGTGACAGCAAATTTGCAATAATTTATATAAGATTAGGCGATGACACATGAAAAAAACAGAAAATTTTATATCCTTCGGTTTGCATTTTATAGCCTAATGACTCAGTTCCTAAGTCTTGTTTAAAATTTTATTGTTTGTTTCAAAATAATGTAATATAAATTATTTAAAAAAAAATTTTTTGTACATTATTAGGTTGATTATATTTATAAGTTTAACTGATGAAGACTGTAGTACAGTGGAAATGTTTGTATAATTTTAGAATATGTGAATTTTTAACATTAAAATTGTTTATATATTAATTAGTTTGTTTTTTAATGTTGCTCGTTAATTGGCCTTAAGGGAATGCTGCAGGTATGTTTTTACCGACCGAATGCGAATATTAAGTTTTTTTTATATATCTTTTTATTTACTATACTGATCAATAAATCCTTTAAAGTATTTATAAAAACGGACCGCGCTAGCTATGATTGCATATATAAATCATATAAAAATCAAAAATTACAGTTTTGTTATCGACTTCTTTTGTGTCAGTTCGTAACAATACTTATTTAATAAAAAAGTTCTGCAGTTTGTCTGTGCATAAAATATAGTATACGCGGTAAGGATAATATGAAGAAATATTAGTAAACAATTAAAAGGGAGATTGAAAGTTTAATAAAAAAGTTATATATTAAAAACATTTTCACGCATATGTGTTGTATACGTGCATATGTTTAGATATGTGTGGTGCTAACCTATCGGAGTTCGGTCGTCACTCCAGTATCCCCTTAATTCACCATTTTAATAATTTGTTATTTCAAATACAGAGCGGGATTGTTCATTATTTTTATTTATATTTTATTATCAAAATTCTAATTTAATTATTTAGGACCTCATACTTTATGCTCGGTCCATGCTTTCTTTGTGGTCTTTCTTCACACGTGTACTGTAAAACAACGTTTTTTGTTAGTATAAAAATAAATCCAATTTTATCTACATTTTTATAAATTAGAAATATCTGATCCTAATTTATAGAGGATTACTGTTTTAAAGCAAGATAATTCTTTTGGCGCCTATTTTAAAACACAGTATTCTAATAAAAGTAAGTGAGAAATTTTTACAATAAAAATACAATTTTTGCAGTGCACTCATTTTGAAATTGATTAGATGATAGAATTGAGCGAACGCGTTTAAAAAAGAAACAAATACACAGTCTGTATATATCAAGAAATAACAAATATTAAATAATATCACTCATCGTTTCTCGCCAATATCGACATACATATTTTGAGATTTATCGATTCTCTATAGACGACGTGTAAAAATTATTCGATGCTCTCATGCGAACATCCTATACTTACAGTCTCTGGACATGCCGACGGCTAGGCACTTCTTGAATCTGCAGTACTGGCAACGGTTTCGATTTAATCTGATGACGAGACACTTGCCGTCCCTCAAGCACCTGTATTCTATCTGCTTCTGTATGCTCCTCCTAAAGAAGCCCTGAACAGGAAGTAAGAAAACGCTATTAATAACGATCCCATATACTGCGTCCCGGGGTTAATTATATCGTCCCGACGTATAAAATACGACACTCTATGCCATTCTTTATAAGTGCTGAGAGTTCAGGAAAAGCGAGAGAGAGAGAGAGAGAGAGAGAGAAAAGTAACGGAAAACGCGTTCATGAGAAAAGCAAATTCTCGAGCGCCCTTTATATTACCGCGCATTCTTCCGGATGAACATCTCTCATAATTACATTGAAGTTTATACGAATGATTAATAATAATTTCAATATTAATTTAAAACACAGTGTTGTGTTATGTTTATGTGTTCTTTTTTTGTTATAAATTTTGTGTGTTGTTGTTATGGTCCCATTTTAATTATTGTAATATAATCAAATTATATATTTTTTCTTAAAAATAACTGTGTGTTCTTTGCATCAATTAATTCCTCTCATTATTTTATTTATAAAAGGTATTGAGAAAGATGATCTAATAATAAATATTTTATTAGCTGTTTTATAATTTTTTTACACTAGTTTACAAAAAAATATTTGTTTTCATTATTTTAAATCAGACAAGGTGTTTCTTACTAATTTTTTGATGCCAAAAACGATGCTGCAAGTCAATTTTCACCGGCACGTCAAGTGCCAAATAATTATTGAGATTTAACCTCTGAAAAATGACTTTTTTGCGATATTTAAGATTTTTTGATTAATATAGTGTTCATCCCCTATATTTTGTTTTATTTTAATCTCTTATTTTTTAGCTATGTAACTACTTCTCATATAGAAATGCTCCTAAAAAAGTTAAAAAAGTTATTTTCTTTCAAAATTAATTTTATTATTATTTGGCCTTTAGATCATACAACTTTTATCAGGAACATTTTTCGAGAAAGCATTTGTTTCGAAAAATTCAAGATATGCAAGGTGTTTTTGTTTACAGCCATGTTTCAGCAATATTCGACTATATAGATTAAAATAAAACATTTTGTATATATTGTCTTGTAGAATCACCGTATATTCTTCTATTATAATACTCAGAAATTTGATTAATTTTTTACTTAAAGTACTTTAATTGGTTATTATTATCGCATGTTTTTAGTTTTCGATATTAATTGTTGTCTTGACAATTAATGAAAAGCCGTTTAAAATTTGCCTCCAAAGTCCTTTAAAATAAAACTCTTTAACATAAAAACACTTGAAAATAATGATAATTTGAATTTATATATTTCAACATTCGAATGATTCAATGTGGCTCTAATATAACAATCCAACAGCCCAACTTCTCATGTTCATTAATACGTTTTATGTAAACAGCCAGTTGGCTGCAGAGAGTAAAGCTCGCTTGCGGAAGTAACAGAGTAATGGCCGCGTTGCGAGCAGTCGCGAAAATATCGCAGTGACTTATTATTATCGGTTACTAATTGACGAAAGGTATTCATAACAGCATCGTACAACAATACTGACGTACATCCAACATTCAATATCCTGAAATATTCTGATGGGCTGCTCCTCGTAATGCAACTGTCGATACTACTGATAACCGATGGGGCGCGAGCGGTTTCGGCCTCTGTTTCTAAAATCGATACGTCATATCGCACCCGTCTGTTTGTCTTCATCAGCCGGATGACGGAAAAAGCGTATAACAGCCATATAGTTATTAAAGCAAAATGGAAGACGCGAGAGATAAAATGTGTGCTGATTTTAGAAACGACAGATATCAATTAATCTATGCTCCCAGTCGGCTAATTATAGTTGAACAAATGATTGAATTAATAGCACTTTCTATTTTTCTGTTATCCATAATAATGATTGCTTCGTCACAAAGAAAAAAATGTACATAAAATGCTATAAAGTTTAAAAATTCTAAATCTGATTATAATGATCTTATTTTAACGACATTAAGCTTTTTAATAATATTATTTTAGTTTATGTTAAATAATTAAAAATAGAATATTTTAAAATTTAGATTTAAAAAACTACGGAAAAATTCCAAATTGATGATACAAATTGAAAATACAAAAATACATGTAGTATTGTTGAGAGATAAGATTTGTTTTTTTTTATTCGATAAATCTCGATATATTATTGTAAAAGATTTATGTATCACAGAAGATAATAATACTGTAGAGGAATTATAAAAAAAATTGTATAGTCAATAATAAATATTACACGAGAAAACTTCGATAAACGGGCAGCTCGAACTACAACATCACTCGAATCAGTAGTAAAAATATTGAAGGTCAGACCTGACGGCTCGCGCAGTAGTAATAATCCGCGCGTGGACGGACAATGCTGTTCCATTGTGTTCAATCCGTCGCATTTTAAATCACAATTTATAAGCGCATATGCGTAAATTTATTTAATCAAAATTTATATTGATAAATATTATTAAATATCAATTTAATCGATTATTAGTTAATTATGAATTTTAATATTACAAATTAAAAATTAATCGAAAAGCTTATGTACGTATAAATTTTACTTTTACATCTCACTCATATTCATATAATTTTAATTCTCGAAATTCAAAATAATATTGCTATCTGCATCTCCATTTCTAGAATATTCCGCATATTCGCTTGATGCATCGATATATAAATGTTAGAAAAAGCAAAAGCGTGCTCTTCATTCAATATTGGAAACGTGCCTAGGCGTTAAATTTTTCTCTCTTTTTTTATCAGAAGTTTTTTGACAAACCGTTTCTCTCTTTCAAGAAAGCAACAAACGAACAACTCTTCACTCTTCTCAATCAATTTTAGGCAAATTTTTACTATTCTTACGAAAAATACATCAAAATTTTTGATGTTTGGAATCTAATAGAAACTTGGATGTCATTGGAGAATTTACCATCAACTTTAATGTCATTTTGCATTTTGTCCTTAAATAGTTAAATGTGATCTTCATTTTAGATGTCATTTTCAGTGTTATTAAGCAAACAATTAAGTATCGATTAAGTGTAAACCATCAATCTAAATGTTATTTTTGTGATTTTACTTTCAATAATTTTAATGTCGACTGAATATGATTGTCAACAATATACGTATAAATATATATTGTATATATGTATATGTAATTTTACTTATTCTATAGTGATTATTATATTTTATTTGTACATATGTTGAGCTTTCTCTCTTCTCTCTTTTCTGCTTCCTCATAGAGGAAACTTTGTTTTCGTGAAAAATATTTTTTTCAGATTTCTATGCCAATGTATTCCAGAATGTTCCAAACATCGAAAAATTGTATTTTTTAAAAATGTCCATGAGTGTGAGTGTGTGTGTGTGTGTTCATCCACTTTTCTGAAAATTTAAACGTTTCAAGAATTGTTTGAATTACAGCACTCCAATTTGGCATATATGTGAAGTAGAACAACACTTTTATTTACTGTCATTCTTATACAAATTCATACAATATTTTAAATTTTAATGCAATTTTAATTTTTTTAAATTCTGTCTGTAATATATTACCCTAATTTCCTTAAATTTTAAAATATCAGGATAAATATTTTATATAAATAAACTATCATTAAAGAATGATAGGTATTGAATTTGGCAACAATCAGTGGAAGAGTTCATTTTTCATGAAATTTTAAATTTTTCACAAAATGGAAATTTTCGAACTTTACGAAAGAAACATACAAAAATAGGTACACGCATACACATAGATATACGTAACGAAAAATGTTAAAGCTAAAATTGAAAAACTAGCTTGCATAGAGGATTGAACTTAATGAATGAAGTAGAATGGTGAGAAAGTAATATGCAAGTTTCCAATTTGCACTTTTGTGTCTATTAACAAATTACACTGTTCAATAAAGAAATGAACTGAAACAAGACTAGTCTTTTTTTTATAGTTTTTGAATGCTGAATACAAATTTGATTTCCAAATAATTCACGTCACAATTTTTAGAAACTTTTAATTAAAAAACAAAAGGATTTTTTCACAAACTTTATTATAGCATAGCATTGTAGCATAGCATTATAGCATAGCATTATAGCATAGTTACAATACGTGATGTGCTAGAGAAGTTTTATTGCAATTAAAATACATTATTAAGACTTTCAAATCTCAAAAGAAATTTTTGATGTCAGTTATGGTCAATAAAATATCCATGGTTAAATGGGATGAGGCTTAGGTCATTGACAATTTATCAAATAAATTTTAATTATATTTATTTAATCTTTAAAGGTTTTTAGATTAGTACAAATACAAATCCAGTGTTGAAATTGTTAAATTCACAACAGTAAACTCAATATAGCAGATTTATATAAAACTTAATATAGCAGATTTATATAAAAAAAGCATTTCTTAAATTTTGACATCCCCTATATTGAATACCATTTTGAATTTGACAATTTTGACAACAAATTCATTTTTAATGACCTAAAAATTTTTGAAAGCTATTTAGTAAACCGGCAATGACCTATTTGTAAATCACAGCTAATTTCCGCAACACGACTCATATTTAACCATGGATATCTTATTAACTATAATCGACACTAAAATTCCTTTTAAAAATCCTAACATATACTTTATTTTGATTGTAATAAAACTTCTGCAGCAGGTCACATATTACAGTTATAATATGAAGTTCGTAAAAATAGCCCTTTTTGCAATTTTAATTAAAAATTTCTTAAAATTATGACATGATATGAAATAGTTTGGAAACCGGATTCGTATTCATCAGCATCCAAAGACCTATAAGAAACGACTAAATCTCGTTCCGATATTCGAAAAAAGTCATTTTTTGTTGAACAGTATTATTAAATAATTAAGGATATCCTTATATTAACTTTACAATTATCGAACTAGGAAGCATGTACGGCCGATAAACACGTCTGCCTATGTGCATTAGTCCGCGAAAACTCGATGCTAACGCGAATGCGAGAATGCACCACTTCACCGTTAGGTTAGGTTAGGTTAACTCTGGCCTTAGGGCTTCCGCGTTTGAAATCTCAGGCGTGCAACAACGCATAGACAGACGGCGAGAGAGATTCGCGCATCTCCCACGATAGTGAAGACATAAGCGTGCGCGCACGATACCGATAAATATCCCCGGCCTCAAAGTGCGAACGAGTCGTTTTTTGTGAATTATTGCTCGATCGTTATGCATCCTTGCTTGTATCATCGAAACTCCGTAAGTTACTGTACTTGACTCCGCTACTATCGCTACACACGTCGTGAGGTCAAATCAATCTGCGAATGTTCCGCAAAAGTATCGAAAGCTACGATCGTAGCTCAAGATTGCGTATAATTTCTAATTTTTCGAATGCCAATTTTTCTTGGATTTATTTCCTTGGATATACATTAGTGTAAATTGCAAAAAATAAAATCCCATACTTGGTTAGGTTGCTTTTAAAAGGTTCGAATATATACTTAATTCAGGCACGAATGCATTTGAAACTCCTACTCCTATTTTTCGAGATACTTAGAGAATCCATTTAAAGTACTATTTTTTTCGAAGTAATTATATATATAGGAATAAACAAATTGGAACCTTGTAAAATACTTAATCCAATCACTAACCTTCAAAACCGTGTAAACAAATTCGATGAACTTTGTAAAATACTTAATTTCACTAGCAGCAATGGAGCTAAACACATATTATAGTAGTCATGTTGTACAGATTTAAAATATAGCTGCTGTGTGTACGTGAATGTTTTTTGTAACAGAGAGAGAAAGAAGTATTTTTTTAGATAGATTATCAGAGCAATGAATGATCGAAGTTTGCGATGAAGGCTGATGCAAAACAACTGAGCCACAATATGATATTCTTGATGTTGATTTTGCGAAAATTAATGTAAATATTACAGTTTCGGCTTTGAAGTCCCAAAGCATTCAGTTTTGAAGCCATTGTCTGTTCGTGATAAGAATATTCTCAACATACGATACTCACTTTACAACCCTCGCAGCTGGTTACGCCGTAATGGTAGCCGCTGGCTTTATCGCCGCAAACCTTGCATGGTACAAAACTTTTAGCGGGCGTCGAACTGTTGGAATCAGCTGCCGCGTAATGTTGCTCTGTAAGCAAATAAAAAACAAATAATTAATGCATTGATAATTATAAATTATATATTTTCCATAATAAGACTAATTTTACAATAAACTAATTTTATATGATAAAGTGACTGTATCTTATAATTAAAAACAAGAGTATCTAAAAGTTGTTCATAATTTTGCTTGCTCCTTAAGTTTATAATAAGAAAATTATTCTCCATCTCTTTCAAATATTCTTAGAATATTGTATTACAATATATTTTCAATATGTAATTTACATAAAAAATCTTATAAATCTGAGTAAACTAAAACACGTTATACATTTTTATTGAGAAAATACATATAGGTATCGATATTTTATTGTCATTTTGCGATTTATTTTAGTACTTTCTTTCTACGTCAAACTTTGAAGGATAAGACCTATAAATCGTATTTGAGCGCAAGACTACGTAAACTCTTTCATTTTTGGAAGACCCATATGGGACGCACATCCATCCAGCATTGGCATCTCTCATTCCTCCAGCATCCATTATGTAACAAGGCTCGCCCATGAAAGGGAATAGGTTGTTTCTTCGTTCGGACGGGAGGGCAGGTTCAGGCTGGATGCGTAACGGGAAGCCAGCGTCACCGTTATGGAAAGAAGAAAGAAGAAGAAGAAGAAGAAGAAGAACGAGCTAACATAGCAGCAGCAGCACCCAACTAGACGGAGTAGAGCAGAAACAGGAGAAGAAGGAGAAGGATAATAGGGAGCAGGAGAAAGAGGTGGAACGGGAAGGAAATGAAAAAGGAGTAGCAAAAAGGAACGAAACGGGACCGTCGGCAAAGGGAGAGAAGGAACTATATAGGAGAGATCCTAGTTTGTGATGTGTGTGTACCGTTAGTTTCTCGCGAAACCCCTAGAATGGCGGATGTTAAGAGGAGAGAAGAAAAATGCTAAGAACGTCCTAACCAAGCCTAACCAAGCCTAACCTAATCTAAAAACCTAACCAAAAGAGAGAGAGAGAGAGAGAGAACTCGGGTGATTCTAATCCGACAGCCTCGCCGTTTGCACTTGTTTGTGATTTTATGACAGTCGTAAAGCGAACCAAACGGTACTGCTCACTCCGATGCATCAGTGCGATCATCGTCACGAGGACAATCAAGAGCAACTCCGTTATTTCACTCGACATACACTACTATTCCTCCTTGCACCTTTACTTTTGCGACAATTAAGAACTAGAGTCCTAGATATCAGAGAAGCAATATTGACTATCGATGTATCAATTTATTGCGATTATCTACCACTTTGCTTTTTATTATGAAAAATAAATATATTTAAAAAATAAATAAATACACATATAAATAAATAAAAATACATACAAAATAATATATTATGATTATATTATTGTTATATTATTATTATTACATTATTTTATGTTTTTTATATCTAGGACTCTACTCTAAGGACAAATAAGAAAAATTGTGCAACTATTTCACATCAATCGTTTCTTGTCGCATCAAATACATAATCTAGAAATGTATGATATTACGCTAGAATATAATTATTTTCGTGTAAATCAGCATAATATTGTATACAATACCTCGGGTGGAATCATTAATGGGCGAAATCAAAATAATAAAATAAAAAAAGTTTTAAAAAAATTTGTGAAAGAATATATTTATTTGCAACAAATAAATGTTCTTTTTAATTCAGAACTTATTAATAAAGCGCTTAATTTTGATATAATTTAATTTATTTATTAAGACGTGCGTGAAAAATTATTTGTCATGAAATTCGATATATTATATGTACATAAAATTAATTAAATTTTCTTCAATATATATTTTCTTTTCTTAATCAATAAATTTAACGAAATTTATCGAAAGTTAAGCACAGTATATCGAGAAAGATAAATTGGAAAAATAAACTTAAGAGTTCAATTTCTGTGATTAAACTTTCTACGTCATAGTCAGTTTAACTTCTTGAGAAGCACAGATTTTATATTATATAAAGATTTAATAACTGCTATTGTGAAAGGTACGCAGAAAAGCATACGAGAAAGATAATCTTTCCATATCTTTTTTTTTTATTATATTAATTCCTTAAAATAATAAATTAATCACATAAAGCAAATAAAAATTTAATTAAAGTTTCAGTTAAATGAACAAAACAGAATTTTATTAAATAAACAAACAGTTGTAGCAAACAAAGAGCAAAGCATTATTTTTCATATCTCTTACTCAAATACTTAAATGTATATGTGAGTTTAATTAAATTCCAAAATAATAACCGATTAACACATATTACATTATAAAAGTATTGTTAATTTATAATTGCATAAACTGTGATCTTAAATTTTTGAGAGAAGGAAAATATCGCCGTATACATAAAAGAAAATACTTTTCGATGATTTTTATGCTCAAAATAATGAGAGAAATTGAAGGTAAGAAAACATAGTTGTTTTTGAGAAAAAATATGTAGCTGTTAGTTGCAAATTACATACTTTATTGTTACGCACGAATAAATCTGAATGCTACGTTTCTGGATTCTTTTCGCGTTTATTCTCGTGAAGTTCGATTCGATAACACGATAAGATACGAAATAATACGTTTTGTTTATCTTAGCCAAGATATACACCTCTCTTTCTCTCTCTCTCTCTCTCTCTCTATATATATATATATATATATATATATAGAAAGAGAGAGAGAGAGCTATATATAATATGTATATATATATATATATATATATATATATATATATATATATATATATATATATATATATATACGCAGTAGGAAAATTGTTTTCTTGTTAAAAACGGTTTCCGTTAAAATTTTTGTGTTACATATTTAACACATTTATGTGTTAATTTAACATATTGCTGTTGTGTTAATTGAACTTTAAATTATTAAAACAACTAAAAAAAATGTAAAAATAACACTTGTGCATCTATTTTTAATTTTACACAATAAATATGTTCTCTTTATTAGTGACAAGCTTTATCTGTTCAAATTTACAAAAAAAATGTTATTTTTTATTTTATAATATATAAGTGGGGATGATAAAATCTAAAATCAAAATATTTTTAGTTAATTTTTACATTAAAAGTATGTTAATTTTAGACAAAATTTAGTTTAAATTATTTAAAGCTTTGCATTTATTTTGTGTTAAAATATTAACATAATATTTGTGTTTCCATTTAACATATCCATATTATATTAAATTAACACAAAAATTTCTGTGGATCGTTTGGGACATGTGATATATCTATTAAATTTAACACAAATTGTTCAAATGTATATACAACTATATTCTTTCTCTTTTTTTAATTTTTATTGTAAATAAATTATTTATGCCGACAGCGAGTGTCTTCTCACGTAATTGTTGCTGCAATTTGTACTATTTAGATTGAGGTAACATTGTGGACCGTATCTGTTCGGCCTATCTCAAAGCGACCAGATTTCCACACGATGTTACAATCCCTCAGTCTGCTAATAAATCGATTATGTTATATCCGCACGGAGGGTAGGAGAGCGGCTACTCGCCTTTGTCCGGAAATCAGCGGCGCGGTAAATGCACCAAAAACGCTGCACGTTCGAATAAACGGTTACGACGCGATGCTATAACGATATTATCGGACCCGACAATATCGAGAGACCAATATACAGCTCGTTTTGACAGTGTTTATTAGTGACCATTCAACTCCCAATAAACACAATTAAATCAGGACCAGCCATTTATCCACAAACAAATCTGGCGTTTCGAGGTACGTTTGTTGACTAAAAAATTAATGATTGTAACTGTATAACTGTATTATTCTCTCTCTGATGTCAAAACATAAAATATAATACGATATATATATATATATATAGCTTGATGAGCTTGATGAAAAATATGCGTAAAATATGAAAATTATATAATAATGCTATTAGCTATTATTAAGATTATCGCTCACGCCGATTATTTATTCCATTCCACTCGATATTTATCAAATTTTAATATTTATGCAAAGGCCGTTAGTGGAGTAATCCAGAATTAAGTGTCAAATCTCAATTAACGCCACGGAAACGCAGCGCAGTTGCTCTTGTTATCGTAAGTGCGAATCTACTGTGTACTTGCGAAATGAGCTGACGATGCACCCTATTGTCGGTGAGCACTGGTGCGTGTTCGACATAAAGACGGAAGAAAGCGAAATGGGATCTTGTACCGCTTTCCTAAGATCTCCTGAGAGTAAAATAAAAACGCGCAAATTATTCCCTAAATATATTTTGGTCAGTTGAGTTTTTCAAAAATGCTGTAGTTTACACACGCACGCACATTGTTTAAAAATTTCTGAGAATTTTCTCATTTGTCTATTTTTGTTCGAAATTCTAGATAAAATTAGATTATTTGTAGATGCAAATTTTTAATAAGTTTTTTTTAATTTTTATTGTATGCTTCTTTTACTTTAATGTTTCTTGTATAAAGAAACATTAAAGGCTATTTAAGTATAAAAATTTAAATTTATAAAAGTTAATTTGAAAATGTAGTTTATATACACACATTTAAATTTTTTTTAAAATTTCTAAAGAATTTCTTAAAAATAATTTTGGGACAGTCTAATCCAATTCACATAATTAAGTATAATCGTATAATGAAACGCAATCAATTTATTTATTGTTAACTTAATGGTTAAAGAAATAGCGCAACTTTTGCTACACGGGCTAAATAAAACTGAATTGATGAAAAATTTTTTTAATTTTCCTTAATTAGCTAATTTTGGCAATTTCTTGACACGTTTTCTCTGTATCATTTTTTTTAATCTAATTTTCTAAAAAAATTCAAAATATTATAAATATAACCAGTGTTTGTTGTTATCTAAATAAAATTATATGATCATCCAGATAAAACTTTGGCGTCATCTTATCTTTATACAGATAATAAACATATATATTATCTATATCTGCATCTCAGATAAAAAAAGTATTATCTTTACTAAATTATTTACTAAAATAATTTTCAGATAATTGATTTAGAATCATAGCACATAAAAATACTTAAATAG